GGACCGGACAAGGCCTCCACGTGGGACCGGCCAAGGCCTCCACGTGGGACTGGTGAAGGCCTCCACGTGGGACCGGACAAGGCCTCCACGTGGGGCCGGTGAAGACCTCCACGTGGGATTGGTGAAGGCTTCCACCTGGGACCGGCCAAGACCTCCACGTGGGACCGGTGAAGGCCTCCATGTGGGACCCGGCCAAGGCCTCCACGTGGGCAGCGAAGGCCTCCACGTGGGACCGGCCAAGGCCTCCACGTGGGACCGGCTAAGGCCTCCACGTGGGACTGGTGAAGGCCTCCACGTGGGACCGGCGAAGGCCTCCAGGTACCGGCCAAGGCCTCCACGTGGGACCGGCCAAGGCCTCCACATAAGACCGGCCAAGGCCTCCACGTGGGACCGGTGAAGGCCTCCACGTGGGACCGACCAAGGCGGCCAAGGCCTCCACGTGGGACCGGCCAAGGCCTCCGTGGGATCGGCGAAGGCCTCCACGTGGGACCGGTGAAGACCTCCATGTGGGACTGGCGACGGCCTCCACCTGGGACTGGCCAAGGCCTCCACTCCACGTGGGACCGGACAAGGCCTCCACGTGGGACCGGCCAAGCATCCACGGAGGCCTCCACGCGGGACCGGCCAAGGCCTCCACGTGGGACCGGTGGAGGCCTCCACACGGGACCGGCCGAGGCCTCCCCGTGGGATTGGTGAAGGCCTCCACATGGGACTAGCCAGGGACCGGTGAAGGCGTCCACGTGGGACCGGCCAAGGCCTCCACGTGGACCGGCCAAGGCCTCCACGTGGGACCGGTGAAGACCTCCACGTGGGACTGGTGAAGGCCTAGGCCTCCACGTGGGACCGGTGAAGGTGAAGGCCTCCACGTGGGACCGGCCAAGGCCTCCACGTGGGACTAGTGAAGACCACGTGGGACCGGCCAAGGCTTCCACGTGGGACTGGTGAAGGCCTCCACGCGGGACCGGCCAAGGCCTCCACGTGGGACTGGGCAAGGCCTCCACGTGGGACTGGTGAAGGCCTCCACGTGGGACCGTTGAAGGCCTCCACGACCGACCAAGGTCTCCACGTGGGACCGGGCAAGGCCTCCACGTGGGACTGGTGAAGGCCTCCACGTGGGACCAGTGAAGGCCTCCACGTGGGACCGGCCAAGGCCTCCACATAGTAGGACTGAAGGCCTCCACGTGGGACCGGCCAAGGCCTCCACGTGGGCCTGGTGAAGGCTTCCACGTGGAACCGGCCAAGGCCTCCACATAGTAGGACTGAAGGCCTCCACGTGGGACCGGCCAAGGCCTCCGACCGGTGAAGGCCTCCACCTGGGACCGGCCAAGGCCTCCACGTGGGACCGGTGAAGGCCTCCACGTGGGACTGGCCAAGGCCTCCACGTGGGACAGGCCAAGGGACCGGCCAAGGCCTCCACGCGGGGCCGGTGAAGGCCTCCACGTGGGACCGGCCAAGGCCTCCACATGGGACAGGCCAAGGCCTCCACGTGGGACCAGCCCAGGCCTCCACGTGGTGAAGGCCTCCACGTGGGACCAGTGATGGCTTCCACGTGGGACCAACCAAGTCCTCCACGTGGAACCGGCCAAGGCCTCCACGCGGTACTGGTGAAGGCCTCCACGTGGGACCAGTGAAGGCTTCCACGTGGGACCCGCCAAGGCCTCCACATGGGACTGGTGAAGGCCTCCACGTGGAGCCGGCCAAGGCCTCCACATAGTAGGACTGAAGGCCTCCACGTGGCCGGTGGCCTCCACGTGGAACCGGCCAAGGCCTCCACATAGTAGGACTGAACGCCTCCACGTGGGACCGGCCAAGGCCTCCACGTGGGACCGGCCAAGGCCAAGGCCTCCATGTAAGGCCTCCACGTGGGACCGGTGAAGACCCCACGTGGACTGGTGAAGGCCTCCACCTGGGACTGGCCAAGGCCTCCACGTGGGACCTGCCAAGGAACCGGCCAAGGCCTCCACGCGGGGCCGGTGAAGGCCTCCACGTGCCTCCACGTGGGACCGGCCAAGGCCTCCACGTGGGACCAGCCCAGGCCTCCACGTGGTGAAGGCATCACGTGGGACCGGTGACGGCTTCCACGTGGGACCAACCAAGGCCTCCACGTGGGACCGGCCAAGGCCTGCGCGTGGTACTGGTGAAGGCCTCCACGTGGGACCAGTGAAGGCTTCCACGTGGGACCCGCCAAAGCCTCCACGTGGGACTGGTGAAGGCCTCCACGTGGAACCGGCCAAGGCCTCCACATAGTAGGACTGAACGCCTCCACGTGGGACCGGGCAAGGCCTCCCCGTGAGACCGGCCAAGGCCTCCACGTAAAACCGGCCAAGGCCTGCACGTGGGACTGGTGAAGGCCTCCACGTGGGACCAAGGCCTCCACATAGGACCGGTGAAGGCCTCCATGTGGGACCCGCCAAGGCCTCCACGTAGGACCGGTGAAGGCCTCCACGTCAAAACCGGCCAAGGCCCGGTGAAGGCCATTTTGTGAAATGATTTAGGAAACGTATTTTTCCGCGTGTTTTTCCGGATGTTTTAATGGCTGGGCGGCCCCAGCATATCCTTCACGGAGGTACACTAAAATACCTGTTCGGCTATTTTAAAATCCGCATATTTTATTGTAGTAACCGTAACTCTTGTTTGGGAGTGTATCCAGAGGGAATGCACAAAGTGTGCTGCATCTCCTTCCATGTTGAGGTTGTGCTTTTGCCACAAATTGTGGAGCCCAGGTAGCCGTTGGATGTCTACTGTCTGCCGGTTCTGAGAGGTCCAGGGATGTTTGAACTGCGTCTTTGACCCCCCATGGTTCTCTGTTGAACTCCGCCAAATAGGCGCACATCCAGCAGAATGCACGCCAGGTAGCATCTGGAGCTGGGATTTCCCACCACCATACTGAGGTTCTGCAAAATCAGATAGTAGTGTGAGCTCATGGTCGAGCTATTCCTCTCACTGTCAAAAGTGGAGCTGGATTGATCCGGTGCTCCTCCAGAGATCGTCAGGCGATTGCCATGAGAGGTGTCGATGGTGCTCAAGTGGTTGCGCTCAGAAGTCAAAATTGTCATGTTCGTGTGACATGCTTGGTTGCGTTGTTGCTTGTCCCCTGCAACAACCCTTGGTGGCTGAATTGGAGCCAAAAGGTATTGTCAGCTCATTTGAAACATGTGTTTGTTCCCCAACACTTGTGTCATCTGAGTGCTGTCTGAGATCATCTGAGCCTGATCCAGCACGGCAAACCCATTTTGGTGGTTGCGCTGTCCCGGCTGGTGATGTTCTGTCCGGAGCTTCCCCCAAATTTGTCTCATCCCACATAGGACCTTCCGAGTCGTCCCAAGTCCTGTCATCCTCGTCCGGGACGGGAATGGTCCACCCCTACTTGCAGTCGTTTGGGTAAATGTTACCCACAGTGTCCTGCCGTGGGCGCCGTGGCTGCTTCTGTTTTCATCCGCTTGGTTGGATCCTCAGGATCCTGGTTCGACCTCTTTAGAAGCCCGTGGAGTTGGGTTTTCTGCTCCTCTGTTAGGGAGATGCCCAGGCTGTGTACAAAGGATTCTTACCGCCAGTGGGATCCCGGCTCTGTTGATGCTTCGTTGAGCTCCGTGGAGGGTGGGTTGCGATTGACGGCCTTCATGCCAGCTTGGTTTGGAGTTCTTGCATCTCGTTCAAGAGATTGGCATATTGGGCCTTGACCCCATCTATGCGGACTTGGAGCTGGTTCTTGACGGACATGTTTTTGAGCTCTGTCACCTGCCCCTTCAATTTCCCAGCTATCTCTCTCTCGGTGATGGGCTCGGGTGCCGTGAGCTTGGACACAATCTCTTGTACCTGAAGTGGCAATGCGTCCATGTGGGTCTTCAAAAGATCCTGCAAGGCCGGTTCTTCTGGCTTGGCTGGTCCAATGCCAAGTGCCTGTAGCTTCGTCTATGTCTCTTCGGACAACGCCGTCCAGCTGTTGGCCAACGAGTCGGTTGCTTCCTGCTGAACCTTGGATTTCTTGAGTGGCCTGATCTTGGTGAGTTGAGGCGGGGATTCCAGCCATGCCTGATTGCTTGTAGCGCGATTGCTTGGCTTGCCATAGCCCTTGCCCTTGCCATTGTGGTGTGAAGGTTCAGGCCACCAGCTTCCGCACTTGCGGCGCTTGGTGCCACTGCGGACCTTGTCGGTCCAGATCCAGTTCCCACATGTGGTTTTGGAGCACACCATGTAGGCTCGTCCCCATTGTGGCGCCATAGTTCCTGAGATAGGTCTGCTTGATGGCCTGGTGATAAACTGCCAGCCACCGTAGAGCAAAACAGGAATGGCCAAGATGGAGACGAGGATTGTCAGCAAAGAACGCTCACCCTGGAAGGACTCTTTGGCGGTGATCGGGAAGTGGAACACCGGGCACACGTGGTGCAATGGGGTGCCGCACTAGGTGGTCTTCTATGAGGGCTTGCCACCTTGAACCGCTCACAGCTGTATGTATGTATATGTATGTATGTATGTATGCATGCATGCATGGAATGTATGTAGTGTATGTAATGTAATGTAATGTAATGCAATGCAATGCAATGCAATGCAATGTAATGCATGCATGGATGGATGTATGTATGTACGTATGTGTCTGTCTGTCTGTCTGTATGTATGTATGTATGTATGTATGTATGATTGCAAGCTTGTCTGAAATTGGGTGTACTGGTGTTTTTACTGATCATGGTGACCTGTGGCTCTTGAACAAGGAAACCTTTTCCTTTTTTGTTGCCACAGCCAGCCTGAGAGCCTCTTTGGTAGCTATGGGTGGGGGGGTTGCATATTGAGTTGCTGAGCAGTCTGAACGTGCTCCACAGTCCCAAGCACGTTTTGAACCGGTTTGCTCGTGGGTTGGGCGTTTCTTTGGTTGAGGTTTTCTTTCAGGTTATTGGACAGTCATTGCAGACCTGGAGGAAAGCCTTATCCCTCGCGCAACCCATCCAATCAACTAGTCAGCGTTCAAGGACGTTGTTGTTGGCGAGTGACGCGGGCAGTGTCAGGTGCATATGGGCTTCTGTCACGAGAATGTGTGCGTTTTGCACGATGTGTACCCTGGGCAGAAGAAGTCCTTGAAGGCACCAAGCCGGACACAAGTCAACCAACAGGTTGAGTCTTGAATGCCTGCAAAAATGGTCAAGCGCGCACATGCAATTCTCACAGGTAGAACCTGCAAAGTGCCCAACTCGAGTCAACATACTACAGCAGCAGGACCCCAAGGGAGAGAGAGAGAGAGAGATGAAAGAGAGAGGAAAAAGAATTGACAACAGCAATGAAAAACAAAATGTCTGAAGATCCCAAAGACTAGAAAACGAGGCCAGTGACCAGCCTGGAAATTGTGAGAAGTCCGACAAGTCTTGGAATTCGGCAGTGCATTGAGGTTGCAGCAAATGGTGCGGCAAACACGCCCTGGAGATGTACTGTTCTTTTCTTTTTCCGGGTATGGCCTGCAGGCGCAGTGATGTCATGAGAGTTTGTCTCGCACCTTTGTCTCACAGCGGACTGTCCGCACTTGCTCGGTGGAGGTTGACGACATGGACGGCTACCAAGACGAAGGGTATGAAGAAGCTATTCTGCCAACCGACTTTGTTGATGGCAGAGACGGCGACTACAGCGTCATTTGCACAAATGACCTCCATGATGCCTGGTGCTCGTATGACGGCACTAATTCGATCAAGAAGTCTACGAACTGAGAACTGGCTGGTAAACTGGTAGGTATACGGTAAAGTCATAGACGTCGTTCTGCCAACACTAAATGACCAGTCGTCATGTTATTTGGGTTGTGAATATCCCTTGTTGCATGGTTGCTTGAAACACATGCCAGAACTCCTTTGATTCCTGATGGTGGATAACTGGACAACCACTGTACTTGACTTGTGTGTGTGTGCGTGTGACTGATTCTTGCATAAAGCATGATCAAGTCGTTGCTCCAAAGTTTGCTGTACACTTCTCACCCACACATCCTGATACTGAAAATAGCTCTTACTTTTTTACAATGAGGGCAGTGTTCTTCCCATCTGTCCTCAGAAACACGCGGTCTTGTTCGGTAAACGGTAAACGGGGTCCTTGTTGTCGTGTTCGATTCCTTGGTTTGCCCCCTTTGTGGTCTTTTGCCTCTATGCTATGCTTTGACCATGGTTGGTGTTTCTTTTGGAAGCAGTAACTACACAAGTGCTGAGCCTGAGTTATATAGATTAACTATATAGATCGCTTCCTTTCGCTTGCGTTGGCTCAACAGAATGGTTTACCATGGTTTATCTTTCTTTCACAATGTCCTTTGTTTTGCATGGGGGCTCGCCTCCATCCACCCCTCACAAAGTTGGTTTAGTTGTGATGATCAAGCCAGCAACCTATGGCGAACCTATCAACGAAAAAACGCTCGGCCGCTAAGCTTTTCCTGAATGCTTTGAGTGCAAAAGGGCAGCTGTTGCTGCACACATGTGAACCGCTCGATGGATTTCGACTGGTGTCTTCTCGTTTTGTGTGTGTGTGTGTGTCATCCACACTCCCCCTTCAGTTGATCGTCAGATCGAACTGACTGAACACTTTTTTCTCAAAACTTGAGCTTCCGTAGGCTCAAACCACCCTTTTCTTCTTCTCATATCATTTCCACTCTTCAGCACTTCTTCATTTCACTTTTGATCTCTTCATTCACCGGCCATGAGGGGTACACCTGGAGCAAGGTGTGTACCTGAGCCGGTCAATTCCAAGGTCTGGACAGGCCATGTTCGAGTGGAGAGTTCCACCCCACAAGGTCAATTTCGTGGGTCGACCTCCCACTGAGCGAACACAGGTGGAGCACCATCGTCCCCTCCTTCGCTCTCCAGTGTGTCGGGCCACCAAATAATCGCAATTTGCTCGGCAGTGAAAGGCTTTCCCAAATTTGGTCGTCAAGACCAATGGTCCTTCATCTTGATTCGTCGCGGGGATTGGTTCCCCTGTATATTCAGCCGGTGGCATTGAACGTGCCTTCGGCATCTGAGTTGGAGGTCCTCCTGCTTGTGAGCTGGAGGCTGTAGGATTCTTTCATCTAATCCTTCGACACTTTCTTTGACTCTGACTCTCTTGATCTTCAGGTACTGGGATTCTCCCTGGAGACTGGAGAGGTGCTCACAGTGGCATTCCACTGACCACTGATGACCACTTCTTGATATGAACCCTGACCTGGAAGTGGAGGGATCAAGTGTTGAGGAGGAGTCAAAGGAATTTCTGCTGGAAGGCCTCTTGGCCTTGACATCTCTGGTGTTGTTGGGAGTCTTCCTGATCGAGCCCCTCTTCCATCATCTTCTTCATCTCTGGCTTTCATGCCCTTTGATCTTCTCCCTGGTGGCGTTGTGGGAGGACTTCCAACTTGGGTGGATCTGGTCAATCCACTTCGGGATGGGCACCACCTTCGTAATACTCCCTCCTTCACAACCCACCAGAAAAGGGATGTGACCATCATCGTGTAGAAAGCCAAAAGAGTCGCGACCGTCAACCGGGATCATCCTCTTCGCCTTGTGCGGATGCTGCACTAACCGATGCTGCTATGATGAGAACTTTGAGGATCTTCACAGCCTTTTCTCGATCGATGTTTGTTGAACTTCCTTCCATCTTCATTTCATCTTCTTTCTCTTGGGTCTTCGCTTCCACTTCTTCCTTCTGGAGTTCTTTCTCTGCCATCTTTTTTACTCGTCCATCCATGCCAATCTTCTTCAGCGCTTCAAGCCTGGTCGATGTCAGAGCCTTCGTTCCCATGTCGGCAACCATGGCCTCTCCAGGGGTGTGACCAATGCTCCAACTTCTATCTTGAATCGCCTGTCTGGCGAATGTCGAACGAGTTCTCAGGTGTCGAGTCCTCCATGATCCTCCTTCTGTGAGGATTGACATGCCCCATTAGCTGTCTGACTGTCCACACCCGACGATCTCGTGCATGATGACTCCGATCGACTCCCCTGCAATCATACCCTCAATCACTTCGTTCATTTCGGCTTCTGCAGTGGAGAGGGTCACGGTGCTCTGTTTTCCTGATCGCCAGAACACTGGGTGGTCTCCCACCATCACAAAAAAACAGCCATGTGATTCTTCTGCATTGGGAGCGAAAGAAGCGTCTGTGTAGACATTGATCATGAGCTCTTTTTCTTCATTCACTTCATACTTCAGGCCTTGATTCTTCGTGGCAGCAAGGTACTGTAGCCTTTCATCTGGGCAGCTGCTTCCAAAACAGCCCTTGGAGCCTTGAGCACGTTCGATCCCATTCGAGACACGCCGTAGATCATGTCTGGTCGTGATCTCGTCACCAGCCATAACATTTCTCCCACGGCTTTTTGGGAAGCTTTGATTTCCGCCTGTGAGGGCGGTGATTCATCTCCTTCCATGGCCGCTGGTCTTTTGTGATGGGGATCTTTCGATGCTTCAGCGGTCCAGGCTCTGACTATAAAAGATCGGAGGCAGAGGATTCTTGGGTAATCATCCAGCTCCATCGCCCTGTCTCTGGAGTTCGACTCCTTGATATCTCCATGCCCAAGAACTTCACCGGTCCATCGCTGATCTCGTGAGGGCCTGACGTCCTCCAGGTTTCCTCAAAGGTGGACCTGATGGCATCTTTGATCTTCTTAGGTCCACAGATCAGGATGTCATTGACATACGTCATCACTAGAGCTTGGGGCTTCTCAAACGCTTCATCATCATCATCATCATCATCATCATCATCATCATCCACCCGGACTGCCTTCCACAGATTGGGTTCTGAGTCCAGTGGCTTGAGACGCAGTGTCATTTCTTTTTCTTCACCTCGAAGCCTTCCATAGTTCTGTCCCGGTGATCTGCCCAAAGTCTTGGAGACCTCCGGAGTCCATAGACAGCTTTCTGTGAGAGGTAGTAGGTATCCTTGGGCATGAACTTTCGTTCAACAAAGAACGTTGGTGGAAGTAGTAGCATCAGGTGTTCATCTTCCTTGGTGACCATGTCTGCATTCAAAAATGCAGTATTCACGTCAATTATGCCGACCGCGTCCCATTGAAATATATAGTATATATAGTGCTGACAAGCTGACAAAAGCACTAGGATCCTGCGTGCAGATGCATCGGCTCCACCTGAATAATTCATCTCATCAGCTTGGCGGGTTTCATAGTTCCCGCACACTACCCATCTCACCGGCTTTCCGGCTTTCTTTGAGAAGACCAGTTTCGAAGGTATCAGTTCAACCTGCAGCCCCTTCTCTTTGGCCATCTTCATGAATGCGTCCACTTGGTTCGCATCCATCGGAATGAGAGCCATCTTCTCGGTGAGAAGGGGGTGGACCTCTTCGCCAGCTGATGCCTTCCACTTTTCCCATTCTCTGGCCACCTCTTTGGGATGATTTTGGTCTGGAGTCTGGAGCACTTCTTCTTCGTCATCCAGGCCTCCTTCATCCATCATCTTTCGGAGTCTTCCTCTTCTCCTGCACCAGGCCGTGAAGTGTCCTGAGAACTCGTGGCCTTGATCGGTGTGAATATGGTTCACCCAGTAGCCATCGATCCTCAAACGAAGAATCATGTCCATCGCCGTCTTGGTCACCTCCAATGCCTTCTTGGAGAGCATAGGCAAGGCCAGGTGGAAGGTCTTGATTTCAACGCCATTTTGACCTTCTTCTTTTTCTTCTTCTCTTTCACCTCCCCCTGGTTCCATGTCACCCTCCTCCTGTTCCATATCTTCTTCATTCTCTTCAGGTTCTGCCGACTCACCTCCTTCTTCATGAACGGCTTCTTCTTCCATTTCTTCGGCTTCAATCATCGGGAGATCTTCTTCTTCTTCTACTTCTTGGCCCTCTTCATTCGGAGTGTTCGCTCCCTTTGGGATAGCCCAGGTGAATGCTCCAACCAAGAAATACCGGGAGAGGTGTCCTCCTTGGTCGTACGCAGGCTTCAGAGGTCCTGCTGTGTCCAATGAAAGCACTCCTGCTCGAGGGTTTTGAACTCTCCGATGAGGTCGACACCGTTGAAGGGTCTCCTGACAAATCCAGCAATCCTTTCTCGATGGGACATGTCCAAAGGCTATATGCTCCTCCCACGACAGGGCACACAGCTTCAGTGGCCTTCTCATCACCTGCTTCATCAACGAGGATGCAACCATCGTCATCAGTCCAGGAGGCCAGCGAGCAAGCTGCCATGAGACCCATCTTGTGCCTTGAGGCCATGATCATCGGGACTCATCTGGTGATTCTCTCCAAAAGTGGTTGGCTTCGTCGCTGCACCGCCTAAGGGCCGTTGGGAAAAGCTCAACTCGGTCCAGCTTGCAGCGCCTTCCATTACGGCATACTGTATCCCACCATGATACCACTTCTGGTTTGTATGCTTTGGGACTTGATGGCTGTTCCAAAGAAAAGACGAACAGCTCTGGATCCTTTCTCGCCTGGCGAAGATAGTTGGCTACCATGCCAAGGAACACCATCCACAGCAGCACATCATCTTCCCAGAGCTTGTCTTTCTCTTCTGGTGTCACATCCTTGATTCCAAACTCTTCTCCGTTCCACCGCACAGGCCTTGGAGGTTCCGGACCAGGGACTGGATAGTGACGAAGCGCAAAAAGAGTCCTGCAGTTTGGTCCGCCGATCAGAGCCTTGACCTTGTTTTCTAGGATGGCCGTGAGCAACGTGGAATAGATACCTCCATTCTTGAGGAGGTCATGACTTGGGCCTCTCTGAAGATCCAACTCCAAAAGCTCATCTTCCTTTCCTCCAAGCTGCTGCCAGGCACGACTCAGCGTAAAGCCTTCATCTGGTCCAGCATACATGTGAACCACAAAGCCATCCCTTTTCATGTTCTTCTCCTTCGATTCACTGGAAGCCCATTCCATGGGCCTGGCTCTACGACCAGTTCCCTTCTTATCTCTTCAGGGAGTGATGCCAGGACTGGATGCGTCTCAACCAACTCCTTCGTCCACTTCACTTCTTCTTCGAACTGGTCAACTTTCTTGAACATTATTCCTATCGATCAACTCCAATGCCTCTTTGCGGGCGATTTGAGGACATCCGTCCTTCTCTTCCACAGCCAACAGTCCGCGTGCTGGATGTTCCACTTCCAAGTGCCCTTGTGTCCAGCGAACAGAGCATCCCAATTCCTTTGTGATGAAACCCATGGGCAGGATGGGCTCAATTCCTTGGTCTTCTGTGATCATGCATCCACCTGGTGAAATTGGCAACCAGGTAGTTTGGCCATCAGCCAATGCCACTTCGACCTTGTCATAGAGAGCCACATTCTCCCCCTGTTTTGCTGGGCGCAACGGGTGAGTAGCCCCGCTGTCAAGCAATCCAGTCTGTCCTCCTTGTTTCATTCTCATCAGCCGAAAGGCCTTCTGCTTGAGGGAGTTGAGCTGTCGTTGAAGCCGCTCCACGACCTCTTGTCTTTCATCGCCTTCGGCTGCAGTCGGAGAGGTAGTCGAGGACGATGGGGACGAGTTCAATGACTTCAACACCTTGTTGGCCTCTTCCAAAAGGTCCTTCATGCTTGGTAGCGACCGGCCGCTTCCATCTTCTTCCTTCACTTCATCCTTGGTGTCCTTGGTCTTCTCTGCTTTGGACATCTTTGGCTTACCGCCATTTTTTCCTTCCTTCGGTCGACTACATGCTGGAGCCATATGGTCAGTTCCACCGCAATTCCAGCATCTTTTTCGTTCATCTCTTTGGTCATGCGAAAAGGTGCACTGCTTGCCTCGTCAACCGGCATCAGTGAGGTAGAAGCGGCCGCACTTTCCCTTCTCCTTACTCTCTCCTTCTCGCACTTCCTTGGTCTTCACCTCTTTCGACTGCTCTTCGAACTTCTTGATCTTCGGGGCTTCAGGAAGTGCTTCTTTCTTCCTAGCCTGATGTCCCATCGTTTCCAACTCTGCCAGAAGGTGATGGGAGTATTTGGTCACCGACTCCTGAGGTGGAATCGTGTCCACCATGAGCTGATTGCGGGTCAGCTGAAGCCTGAAGTTCAGGTCTGCATGGATGCCGCTCAACTTCTTCATGAGGCGTCCCAGTCCCTTCACCAGGATCGTGGCATCTGGGATCGAAACTCCCAGTTCTTCAGCTCGCCGCTTCCACCTAAGCCATCGCCGCAATGTTGTGACTCCCTGAGCAATGGTGCCAGCTTCAGGCATGCCGCCAGGATGGCGGATTTCTCAGCCAAGCCGCCCGGTTGGTACTGAGTCATCCCCTTTGTCAAGATGCCCAGTGTTGTCAAGCTCCGGGAGGACACCACTTCTTCTCAAAGTCCTTCAGGAAGAGCAGCCAGCAATAGTGACGATGCTCGCCGCTCAAGTCTTGACCACTTCTTCAACTGCAAGCCAGGTGGCACTTCAGTTGGAGACGATCTAATGGCATCTTCCCCATGTGGTCATTGTACCACTTGCGTTCAGCTTCAACCATCGCCTGCCACCATTCTTCAGAGCTACTGCTCGGATCTCCCATCATAGGTTGGATGACCAGGAGCCAATCTGAGAAATCAATTGGCCCAGTCTCAGGAGACCACTCCGGCAGCTTCGGCAACTCAACACCTCGTTGGACGAGTTGCGGAGATCCTTCTTCACCTCCATGATCATCTCTGGTGTGCCCCTTGACCAACTTCTTCTGAAGATCTTGCATGCCTTGGAGCAACTTTAGGATGACATCTACTGTTTGTGGAGGCATCCCATTTGCACTTTGCGTCTCTTTCTTTCGACCTCCGGTTCTCTTCCCGGAATGGCCTGGTCGTTCTTCTTCTTCATGAACTTCTTCACGTGGCCTTCCTTGACTGGTTCGTCCAGGATCTTCGTCATGACCTGAACTGCCATTCGGGGTCTTGAACAGCCCTTCATCTTCTTTCGGATCTTGGGCCACCAACCGTTGAAGGTTGTCTTTGAGCAACCTATTCTCCTCAAGAATCGCTTGGATTAGGCGATTTCTCAACTCTTCTTGTTCTTCTTTCTTCCTTTCCATGGCCATCACTCCAAAGGCCTGGTCCTTCAGCCTTCTATTCTCCATAATGAGATACTGCAGCTGTCGGGACATCTCTTCACGCTCAGTCCTTTCCAGTCTCGCTCTTTCTTCCAAGGCCCTTCTTTCTTCTTCACCAGCATCTTCCAGCCTCAGTCTTCGCAGGCTTTCCTTTTCTTCTTGTTCGAGGAAGGGCGGTCCTGTGACTGTCATAGGTGTTTGGAAAGCTGGATATAGAAGTGGAGCCTGTTGAGACATCATGTGCAAACCTTGCACTTGCTCTTGAGTGAACAAAGGGACATGGTGTTCTGGCGGTGTCGACATCGAAACCACAACCGGGCCTGTCGATCCAGCTTGCTCTTCAGCTTCGATCTCCGAAACACTTCTACCCTTTCCACCCTTCCCTTCAAGTCTTGCGAATCTCGCCTCGATCCTTGGTTTTCAGGTGTCTTCACTTCCGCTTCCACTCCTTCTGGACCTGGGTCTCCAGGTGATGGCGGCTGGTGCCCGTAGCGGAGTCCTCACTGCATGCGATGTCTTGGATGCAGGTGTGGCCTCAGATTTCCTTGGCTGTCTTCGGTGGTCTGGAGTGCAGTCGAGGGGGTTCCTTGAGGTGCCGACTCTAACTAAAGCCAGTGAACCTTCGGCACTAGCCCTGTCTTTCCCTTTCGTCTTGGACTCTCCCTCCTTCATATCTTCTAAGGAAGTTCCGAACTCTCTTGATGCTCACGATGCAGCCTTCGTTGAGCTGCCTCCATTTCCTTTTGACCTTGGCACAGCTCTTCTTGTGTCGCCTTGCGGCGACGGTGTTGTTGAATGCCCTGCATTCCCAAGCCCTCAGTGGAAGCTTGGGCTCAATAACCTGATGATCAAGCCAGCAACCTATGGCGAACCCTCAACGAAAAAACGCTCGGCCGCTAATCTTTTCCTGAATGCTTTGAGTGCAAAGGGCAGCTGTTGCTGCACACATGTGAACCGCTCGATGGATTTCAACTAGTGTCTTCTCGTTTTGTGTGTGTGTGTGTCATCCACAAGTTGAATCAAGCCGCCTGAAGTCCACGCCATCCAGCTTGGTGCCTCACCACCTTTGGCACTTCATAGCACTCAACTCCATTGGGCTCACCTATTTTCAGCACGCCATTTTCTCCATCATTCCACAAAAATGTCACCTTGAACATCTCAGCATTTCCAAGTATAGTGTTTTGTATATCTCTTATATAACTTTCGAGTTTGCTTCACTTGTTGTCACTTTCCGCCTCCTTTGCCTTACCATACCTGTTGTAGCCCGACTTCCAATTCACCTAACACACGCGCTTCATGTTTGAGCAACGTGTCTTGTTGCAGTCCCTGCCATCCAGCTTGATTGGCAAGAAGTGGTCACTGGCCCTGCCTGTGTTGCAACGTGTTTTTTGGAATGGTTTTCTCGTACTCAAGACTGACAAGAGTACCTCATGTCGTCCTATGTCCTATGTGAGAAACGACGTGGACGTGGGTCCAGCCATGAAACAGCAATGCAGCATAGCACTGTCAATAATTATCTAATTAAGAAATTTATTAGGATGGTATGAGGGTTTGATGTTGCGTGGAATGCACTTGTGAACTCTAACACCTGTTGGCTGTCGATGGCAAAGGTCTTGTTGGGAGTGCCTCACAATGTGGTAGTCACCGCCGTCATGGACCGAACTTGTATTGCCGTGTATCATGTGCTTTGTGTGACAATTAATATATGACAACATCCTTATTGTGGGATCTTGGATTCTATACGATTCTGTAGGATTCTAGGCTTGCAGCACAGAGGGTGGGGTGTGGCAAAGCATGGACAGCTGTACGTTCTGCGGTAAAGTGTTTGGCAGGACTGCGATCACGCCACCACTCTTATCGACATTGGTGGTACTTTAGATGGTTCTTTGGTGAGCGGTCTCAAGTACAGCAGCTTCTGCGGGTTCCAGGTGGGGATGATGCCGCACTAGGCGGAGTACTAGCATGTTCACTGGCCAGGCGCATTCCACAAAGATGATCCTGGCAAATCATGAACGAGATGTGTGGCAGGCAATGAATCGTGCATGTTGATTCTCCACCATTGAATCAGACCTTGACACTGTTTTGGTGCTGGTTTGCTGTGCAGGAAGAAAAGGCTCGTTCAGTTCATGCTCGCCCGCGATTTCAGCCGGCAAAGAACTTGGAAGCCAATCACTTGAGCCTCTATATATATATACATATATATATATATACACATAATATACATATAAGTATATATATATATATGTGCTTCCAGTCCAGGTCACATTCGTCGTTTTCGTTCTTGGCTGTAATATGGAATTGGACCAACCTCACAGCTATCAACCATCAGCTTCCGATTATTTGTATCGCAAAACATGTGTACAGTGCAGTCCTCCAAAGGTCATGGAGATTGACAATCCTCGGAAGGGCAGGCCACTGCTTCCTGTTGCATTTCCCATTTGTCACGAAAGCTAGCCTCAGCTAGCTGAAGTTGCTCTTGCTTTAGCAAGTTAAATGACGGGGTGGACGCGCCTGAGAAAACCTGAAATAATTGATTAAGTCAGTGTTACCGACACCCCCTTCGGAGGTTCAACTCTCCCCTGCGCGCGGTGAGCGGGTGGGCATTTGCTGCTGCTGCTTGGTGCTCTGCTGCTGATGCTGCTGCTGCTTCTTTTTTGAGTTGGCCATGTAGAAGAAAAAACAGCGCGAAAGCGTGCAAAACGAGTTCTAAATTTAGCACTCGTTCTGAACCGATTTGGAGGCAGCACGTCATGTCTAGCATGAACAACTTGGTTTGCTGCTGCTGCTGCTGCTGCTGCTGCTTCTGCTTGGTGGTTTGCTTCTGCTGCCGCCGCTGCACGCCTCCCCGCCCGGCTAGCTTTCGTTCACCCCCTCTGGCCTCAAGTTGCTTTTAGCTCGGGAGGCGACTTTGGGTTCACGTGCTAAAGAGCGGGAGCAACAGAACGTCCCAGTTTGTCTACATCGTTTATAGAATTGGGTTTATGATCTGGCATGTGCATCGTATATTTTGGCTCAGAAGTAGAATATCCAATGACAATGATACTGCAGGTTGACCGTTGCGGGTCTTCTCCAAATCCTGGCAAGAGACTGGCCATGTTTTCCTGCAGCCTGATTTACATGTTTTACGTGAGCAATGGTTCCAGTTGGTCGGGTCTTCTTGCAGACAAGAATGTCAGATCCAAAAGCAGACTGGCATGCCAGCAGGATGGTAAAATTCCTGAAATCTGCCTAACTTGGACTCCGCCAGCCGGCTTGCATGCGCGCTTGAGTCCGCTAGTCGCCGAGTATGTAAGATTGTAAGTGGCTTAGCCGGCCTCGTGCTTGGATAGGCGCTGAACTGAGTTCTGCTCGCATGGCTCTTTAGGGAACGGGTAATCCCAAGGTGAAACTTGCCAGGAAGTCTAGGAACAAGAACCTACTAGTAAGACAGAAGCCAAGCGTGAAGATTTGGCCCAGTGTGCAGGTGACCTTTGAAGCTCATAGCTGGCTAGCGCCCACCTAAGCTGCGACCCAGCATGTACTGGTGACACTACAAACACTCAGCCCAGAGCTGATGGACGCTGCTATGCAACTTGACAGACAACTTTGTACAGTAGTTTGTGATTTTGGAAGGAACAAGTTCAACTCGCCCATGTGCTTGCCAAAGTGCATGGGTCAGGGAGAACCATTGCCGCTGGCGAAGTTACCCCATGTGTTTGACCTGCTTTGGTCGACGTGGCTGCGAAGCCACTGCAACGACTTCAGAAACTCCTGGCAAGCAGGGGCTGACATGCATAGCTACCCAGTGTCTACAAAACCTTCAAGTATATCCGTCTAGCGGCGTCAGTGTCACCAGGTGTGGCTGTGTAATGGATGTCCGTTTCGTTCAACAGTTTATGCTGCACGACAATGACAAACCCGGCAACGTTCCAGGGCAACTGGTGATACCTTTGTTTTTGTGCAACGGCCTGATTTGAGCACGCACTTTCTGCTCACAAACCACTTCATGTGGGGAATTTGTTGCTGCTAAAACCATTTTTCCTATTTCGCGATGCCTAAAGCAGTGGTTGTGACATGAATTGCTAAAACCATACATAGAAACCAGTGGTTTTAGAAAAGGTCTAAGAGATTCTAAGAGTCTGTTCGGTAGGCTTCGGGATCTTGAAGTTTCTGGGCTTATGGAGTCTAGAGGATCAAGGCTAACCCGTTCAGCTCAAAAATGCCTACGTTTGTGAGTTTCGCGATTCGCACTTGTCATTTGGGTTTTATTTTGTACAATGATTCTTGTTGATTCTTCACTCATCCATCATTTCCAAAAGCAAACTCATTCTTCGAAGAAAATGCCCTGCCATTCCAACCCTTCGTCCCCCAACCCTTTCGACAAAGTTGTCAACACGTGCCGTTCATCGTCTGAAAAGCCTTACCTTTGACAAACATGTGTTGTCCCCAGCACATAGACTCCCTCACCAAAGTATCCAATCTAATCCAACCCCTCCCTTGTCATATTTTTGTGGTTCTTGCTCAGGAGGGAGCTAAGGAATTGAAGGTATCGGTATCCGCCCATTAAACAATAGGGAGTTCCTCAACCCCTTGCTAGTTATCATACAAATTTCCTCAAGTTGCCCCCTTTGCTGAAAGAGTCCCATCATCCTGCAAGGAAATATTCCTCAAACAAGTGTGTTCATTCCCATTTGTTTGATCATTTGTTCCTCCAAGAGTTTCCTCCAAATAGAATATGTTAAACTTGCGATTAAGAACAGGTCCTCCTTTTGCAACGTCCCACGTTTCATGGTCTATTTTTGTAAGGTGTCATTCGCTTTTGGTAAACTGTGTTGTGCTCGCCTAGGCCCTGAATCTATATGGAGACAAAAACGCAAACTAGAATGAACTATTTTGTGTGAGTCATTTTGAATGGTCAGTCTTTGCAAGGATATTGTAAGGGCTACGCCCCGTGCCGCCGACCCCAGCGAGGGGGAGAAGGGTCGTGGTTTCATGTCATCTGGAAATGGAGTAAATAAGACGCCCGCTGAATAAGTGGGACGTGCTGCACAAGCACTGTCTTATTTACTCCATTTCCAGATGACATGAAACCCACGTAAGGTCACGAAGGTGAACTAGACTCAACTGAGTTCCTTGGGGTTGGTACCGGCGACGAATCGTAGACTTGTTCGGGTGGAGGAGTCTTTTGGCGTACCTGTCAGGTGAGGGTTGTTAGATTTTATGCGAGCTGCCTTTCTTCTCCTTCTCCTCCGCTTCGTCCTCCTCCTCGTGCGCGTCGTGTTCAACCGCCAGCCAAAACGCACAACATGCAGCCACAAAACAGAGTACAGAACCAACGAAGGAGAGCCACGATACAGAAGCACAAACAAACGAACCACGAACTCAAGCACAAACGCAACCACAGCCACGATCACAACGGACCTAAACATTGGCCTGAGCGGAAACCCTTTCACAGCATATGTTGCCTTCACACGGGTGCCAGGCCGAGACAAACTTCTGCTGTTTCGGCCATTTCACGCGAAGCTCTTCCAGCGCGGGGTCGGTATCGGTCGTGAGCTGCTCCTGCGAGTACTCCGTGGGGAAAGTGTGAATTGGCGCGCGCTGCTGGACGCGTACTGCGAAGAGCGCGGATGCTGCATCTGCCGAGAACGCAAACAAAAAGACGCCTATACCAGAGGCCAATGGAAACGCAACGATGACGAACGTGTCTGTCGAGCATGCGTCCAAGACAAAGCCACGTCTGGCACCCCATGGCAGTGTAATAATTGTAAAGTCTGGCACGCAGAGGCAAATTTCCCGAAGAAGTACCATCGACCACTGTGTACGTATTATCGCGTGTGCCTGACATGCGAGGTGCGCAAAGAATGCGCCAACTGCGGCGTGCGGCAAGCGGAAACTGCCTTTGGCGCGGCAGCCTGGAAAGCGCGCCATATGGACCGAAGAGTTTGTCGCGCATGTGCACGCAAGCAACGCGGTTGGTGGCAGTGCCACACTTGTTACGTACGTAAAGAACCCTCCCAGTTTAGCGCGTGGCTGGCCAAACGAACTGCGGGGCAGGATGGCCGGCAAATGTGTAACGGTTGCAAAGCTTTGCAAGTGGCCTGTCGCTATGCCGGCCGCGCCAATCATAGACTCGCGCGCCTCCGCGCCCGCGCCGCACAGAACCGTGTCCACGATCGATTGCCGGCGCTCCCCGCCGATGCTACGGCCAGCGGGTCCGAGCTCGAGCGTCGCCGGAGGCTGGTGGCGGAGACATGGGCCGAGATTACGGCGAGACAAGGAGAAACAACAGAAAGGACACAAAAGAAACGCAAGACGGAGACGCCGGCCAGCGACGAGAAGTTGTACCGTGAAGTCCAAGCAAAGAAACAGCATGAGTACGCATGCCCGCATTGTGGTGGCCTGGTCGCCAGCAATGTCACGACGGGCCAAATTGATCACCGGACAGTGTGCGGCAACCGGTTTAACGTCAGTGATGGAAGAATCAAAGAACAGCAAAAGCATAAGTACACATGCCCGCATTGTGGGGGCCTGGTCGCCAGCAATGTCATGACGGGACAAATTGATCACCGGACAGTGTGCGGCAACCGGTTTAACGTCAGTGATGGAAGAGTCCAAGAACAGCAAAAGCATGAGTACACATGCCCGCATTGTGGGGGCCTGGTCGCCAGCAATGTCATGACGGGACAAATTGATCACCGGACAGTGTGCGGCAACCGGTTTAACGTCAGTGCTGGAAAAGTCAAAGAACAGCAACAGCATGAGTACACATGCCCGCATTGTGGGGGCCTGGTCGCCAGCAATGTCATGACGGGACAAATTGATCACTGGACAGTGTGCGGCAACCGGTTTTGCGTCCGGAATGGAACAGTCCAAGAAAAGAAAACGCATCAGTACACATGCCCGCATTGTGGTGGCCTGGTCGCAAGCAATCTCACGACGGGACAAATTGATCACCGGACAGTGTGCGGCAACCGGTTT